CCGTAGGAGAGGCACATATGTTGAGCTTGCGTCAGCTGCCTTACAGAGGGAGTTCTTTGTCTCCAAGGCAGGTCTGCGGCCTTCAGTCCCTTGGACATGCTATATGCTAGCAGCGCACGTTGTTGCTAACTGCGGCTGCCTGAAAACACATCGGTGGGCTCGATTTGAGAGCGTGGTCGCCGTCTGGTTCGTGTTCCTCCGGAGGGACGGGACGCTGCTCCGACCTGGGCAGCTTCGCTCCGGAAGCTTCCGCGAGGCTTGGCTCCAGGGGGGTTACCGAGGAATAGCCCCGCTCGGTGAATCCCTCAACTCTGGTGATGGCAGCGGACTGGGGACCGACTCCTCCAATCTACCAGGAAAGAACCGTCTGCGGCCTCGCCCGTCGAACGTCCTGTTGGAACGCGAGGCCGTATGGATCAAGACGGTGAGCCATAGTGGAGCCCAGTGAAAAACAACCTTCCCGCCGATCATCCGAACTGGCGGGAAAAGGCGAGGGACGTAGAAAAAAAAGGGGTCCCTTCATGTCAGCCTCCTCCTGGGTTCCGCCGGGCAACCGTGAGGGCGCTGTCGGCCGGGAGCGGTGTGATCGCCGATGCGAAACGAGGTGGGATGGGGTGAGCATTCACTCAGCCCCCCTCCACCTACACTACGCTCCCCAGGAGGGAATGAGCAGCGGGGGCTGCAGCTGAGCACGCCTTGCCCCGGAGGAACCATCCGGTTTGCCCCGAGGGTCGGCGATAAGAGGAAAAAATACAAGATGGCGTTGTCCAGCGTGTGGTGACCTGTCACTGGGAAATGTTCCCCGACGCTTACCTTGGAATAAGACTGCTCGTCATCTTCTCCTCGGGGAGGAGAACTCACCGGACGACCGGAGGTCGACTGCCGGGCCAAGCATCCTTCACAAAGGTTGGTCATTTACACAATTTATCCTCTTTGTTCTTCTGACAGTGCTATATTAGCTCGCTGAAGAAAAAATGGGAGCCGATTTCCCGCTCTTAACGTAATTTATACGGACCGGGTGGGGCCCACACAGCAGGTGGGCGTGGACTAAATTTTTTCAGTGCTTATGCTCTGCATAACGGGATAAACCCATCAGCGACAGCCTTAAGGGGCATTAAGTGCATAACAGATTATAAAGGAAGGAGTGAACAATGTCCCAAAGACCCATCTCTGCCTGATGCCCTCAACAAGTTCTATGCACGCTTTGAAGACCCGAACAGACCACCCAGCACCAGACTCACCTCACCACCGGATGAAGAGCATCTCAGCGTGACCTCAGCAGAAGTAAGGAGTACCTTCAGGAGGATTAATCCGCACAAAGCAACTGGCCCAGACAACATCCCCGGAAAAGTGTTGAAGGAATGTGCTGATCAGCTCTGTGAGGTGCTGGCAGACATCTTTAACACCTCACTTACCCTGGAGACAGTTCCCACCAGCCTGAAGACTGCCACCATCATCCCAGTCCCAAAAAGCTCTACAGTGACTGGTCTGAATGACTATCGGCCAGTGGCCCTCACCCCGATAGTCGCTAAATGCTTCGAAAAACTGATCATGACTCACATCAAAACAACCATCAACATCAACGAGGACCCTCATCAGTACGCATACCGTGAGAACCGATCAACAGAGGATGCAATCTCCTCTGTGGTCCACACTGCACTCAACCACCTGGAGCGGAAAAACTCTTACGTCCGTATGCTCTTTGTGGACTTCACATCCGCCTTCAACACCATGATCCCCCAAACCCTGATGGACAAACTATCCACACTAGGACTAAGCCCCTCCATCTGCAACTGGGTACTAGACTTTTTAACAAACAGACCACAGTTAGTGAGGATCCACAACCTCTCCTCCTCCACCATAACCCTCAGCACTGGCTCTCCTCAGGGATGTGTGTTGAGCCCCCTCCTGTTTACTCTGCTCACATATGATTGTGCAGCTACCCATCCAGGCTGTCACATTGTAAAGTTTGCAGATGATACAGCGGTGGTGGGATGCATCACAAACAATGATGAGTCCAGCTACAGGCAGGAGGTGGAACACCTGGAGAGCTGGTGCAGAGAGAATAACCTTCACATCAATGTGAAGAAGACAAAGGAGATGATTGTGGACTTCAGAAGGAACAAAAACACCTACACCCCCCTGAACATAAGAGGATCTGCGGTGGAAGTGGTCTCCAGCTACAAGTACTTGGGTGTACACATGAATGACAACCTCAGCTGGAGCAACAACACCACCAGCCTGATCAAGAAAGCTCATCAGAGACTCTACTTCCTCAGACGGCTGAGGCGAGCTGGTCTGGGAAGCTCAGTCCTCACCTCCTTCTACAGGTGTGCAGTGGAGAGCATCCTGTGCTCGAGCATCAATGTGTGGCATGGAGGCTGCACAGCTGCAGAAAGAAAAGCTTTGCAGAGAGTGGTGAAGGCTGCACAGAAATCTGTTGGAATCAGCCTCCCCACCATCACAGACATCTACACCTCCAGATGCAGGAAGAGGGCCACCTGCATCATGAAGGACCCCACTCACCCAGCACACACACTTTTTGCCCCACTCCCCTCAGGAAGGAGGTTAAGGAGCATTAAGTGTAGAACCACTAGACTGAGGAACAGCTTCTACCCTGAGGCTGTTAGACTCATGAATCTCTAACTAGAATAATCACTGTGAAAAACCATATCATGTTGCTGATCTGTTTCATGTTGCTGCTGATCTGTTTCAATGTTGATGTGTTCATGCGTGCACATCTGCTCACAGACTCATGTTCATGTTTGTGGTGATGTTCAATGTTTTATGTTATGAGTGCTTAGTGTATATTTAGTTGATGTTTTTCTTAGTTCATATCTTAGATGTTATTACTGTTTTTCTTATACATTTTATTGTTGGATGTAACTGGGACCCTGTGTACATAATTTCGCTCCACCACATGTACCACATGAGGTGCGAATGACAATAAAGAAACTCTGACTCTGACTCTGACTCTGACTCTGACTTAAAGGGCGAAGCCTATATGACATAGAACAATCATCTCATCTTGAATGTGAACAAAACAAAGGAGATGGTTTATGCTGGTGAAGATTCTCAGTCATCCAGGACATGATGAATTCAAAAAACGTTCAATACAAAAACAACTGGACTTTATTTGTAACAGAAGACGTTTCGCTCCTCATCCAAGGTGCTTTCTCAATTCAAAGAGCAGAGAGTGAGAGATTCAGGTTATAAGGCTGAGTGAGATAAGACATACACACATTATTAAGTTTTATATTGAATTAAAAACATCATTGCTTTGGTGGTCTTGGATCTTTTCAGTAATTTGAGCAAATAAATCACCGCCACAGTGGTTAAAAGCAATCTCAAATTCAAATTCAAAAATACTTTATTAATCCCAGAGGGAAATTATATGTTGTTGTAACTCATCATCCTGGTTTCATTAAAGAGTTGTTCTAGATGCTGATGGCTGTGGGCAGGAAGGATCTCTTGATCTCTTCTTCTCCTTGTTCGAGATAAAAGTTTAGAGGGACGGCCGGGTCTTGGTAGATTTGCAGTGGTCTGATACTCCTTCCATTTTAATATGATTGCTTGCACAGTGCTCCTTGAGATGTTTAAAGCTTGGGAAATAATTTTGTATCCAAATCCGGCTTTAAACTTCTCCACAACAGTATTTGGGACCTGCCTGGTGTGTTCCTTGGTCTTCATGATGCTCTCTGCACTTTGAACAGAACCCTGAGACTATCACAGAGCAGGTGCATTTATACGGAGACTTGATTACACACAGGTGGATTCTATTTATCATCATCAGTCATTTGGGACAACATTGGATCATTCATAGATCCTCACTGAACTTCTGGAGTGAGTTTGCTGCACTGAAAGTAAAGGGGCCCAATAATATTGCACGCCCCACTTTTCAGTTTTTTATTTGTTAAAAAAAGTTTGACACATCCAATAAATTTCATTCCACTTCACGATTGTGCCCCACTTGTTGTTGATTCTTCACAAAAAAATAAAAATTTTATATCTTTATGTTTGAAGCCTGAAATGTGGCAAAAGGTTGAAAAGTTCAAGGGGGACGAATACTTTCGCAAGGCACTGTAGATGGATATGTATATCCTATAACATGTTATTTTATTGGTTTAAATTTTAATTTTCTGTTTTGAATAAATTGCTCGATAAAGTCTGTGAAGCACAACTTCCTGCATGGTTCTTCCATAGAACCTTTAGCTCTGTCTAAATAAAAACATGATGTAATGTGAAACTATTAAAAAACACACTGCTCCTGATGAAAAATCATTAGCATATCACCGCAACGATCAGAGATTCATTTATTTTAGAAACAAACACACATATTTTTCAAATTTGATAAGTGTAAGATTCCAAAATACATTTTGTAAATTAATTAACATGGCAGTCTTTAATAAAAGACATTGCAATGTGTAATTATCTTCATTGGATGCATTTTAATGATAAAAATTGAGTTAATCATCCTTTCCACATCATTCTTCAACAAACAAAAAAGAAATGTAATATCTTTTTTTTTTTAACTCTTGGAGTCTGAATTATGAATTATAGTAATTTTTTGAAGCTGACAATGTCTTGTAAATTGCATTTTGTCTGAATATGCTCGGGATTACTTTGGGATGTGCTGCACAAAAAATGTGAGGATAGAAAATCATTTATAAATTGGAATATTTGAGTTTAAAGGAATTCACATAAATGTTTGGTTTCCTGATTTTAGTTAGGCTGGATAATGCTTTGTTTATTGAGCGTAAGTAGTCAGAGATGAAAAAAAAAGACAAATGCAAGATTTTTGAAAATTGATAGATATTTTAACGCTCTTGTTTTGAAACATCAAACCGGATGTTGTTTTCCTGTACTGAGCTTCTTCACGCATGCGCTCTTGGCACGCTGTGAACCACAGCCTGAGCCCACGTTTGAATTGATGCGTTGGATTGTATGACTGTTTTTAAAGCCCCGCGGACACAGGCAGTTTAGTTATAAGAACAGTTGAGTTTATTTTTCTCAGCTTCCCGTTGGTCGAACGACGTGATGTGTTCAAAAGCACGCGGAGCTGGAGTCTTCTTGGAGCTGAGGAAACGGCTTCAGAGCGGACTTCTTATTGTCGGGTAAATTAATAACGACCACATCTTTTCAGGAAAAGACCACAGTTGAATGTGTTTGGCTTGCTTTGTTTTTTGTTCGTTTATTTTAAGCTAAGGTAGGTAGCTCTGCACTTAGCTTCCACTTCGCAAAGGCTATAGGTGCTTTCAAAATAAAAGCTGTTAAAGACGTCATTCGTCTTCTTTCGGCTGCTCCCTCCTTCAGAGTCTCCACAGAGAACTAACTCACACTAAGACTTGGAAAATGTTTTTACACCGGATGTCCTTCCTGACACAACCACAGACACCGAGCTACCACAGCCCTCTGAGTGGAGCAGAGAGCTGCCATGGGTTGCCCAAGGGTGGTGCGGGTTAAGGGCCTTGCTCAAGGGCCCAGAGTGGGGCAAATGAGGGTGGAGGCAGCCAGATATGGGTGCTTCACCTTACCCACCCACGTTTTGATGTCGTCAGTCGGGGGAGTTGAACCAGCGACCTTGCGATTATAGACCCATCTTCTCTAACCTCTGCACCACCACTCCACCACTTGCTGCTGTATGTTGCAAAATAATTTTTAATGTCCGCCTGTAAATATGGAGCCATAATACTTTTACTTTTTGTCGCTGTTATTTCTGTTTGTTTGTTTGTTTATTATGTGAGAATGTTTGTTTGTTTTCCTTGAAGCTTCCAGTCTTTACACGACTGCAGAAGTTTATGTTTTCTTCAGTCTTCTTCATAAATTTCAGTTTGGGTGTCAATAAATGGTGTCCGGAGACGGGTGTCAGTATTGGACCTGATGTCAGTCTAGTGTTAAAAATGGCGTCGTTGCACTTTTCTGTCTGTAATTTTATTTGTTAGTTTTTTGAGGCAATTGTTTTACAGTTTGATCAGACACTGACTCCAGTTTCCACTCACTAGTTTCACATTTTGTCACTTTGTTCACAAAGCAGGATTGCTAGTTTACTTTTCACTGTTTTTACTAACTGTTCTTGCACCAACAAATGGTAATACCCAGATACTACACAAGTCTTTGTTCAGTTTAATTTATTGTTTATGCAGATTAACACAAGGTCAAAAATTCAACTAAATGTTGGGGATGAGGAGGAGAGTTTTGACTTCCTAAAAAGCCTCGGTCTTGTCCAAGCTCCAAAATTCACGGTTGAAACCTGTGCCTTGGTGTAAAAAGTTGTTTTTCTCTGCAAAGAGAAGCTGAGAACTTGTTTACTTATGTTTTTAATTTTTATTAAAAGCTTTGCACACGGAGCATCCGTCACTTTGAGAACCGAATAAAGGAAAGAGAGACAGCCTGTCATTCCTCAATCTGTTACGGAAGCCGATCCATAGTGTAGCTCATTTGCGTAAGCGCTAAAAGGAATACTTCCGGGTCGCATAGATCACCATTTTTAAATATGCTAGATTAAGAAAAATGTACTGGTATAATTCCGTTTATGAATAAGAACTGTATTAATTTATTTAGAAAAGTATGTGCTTTATCTCCGCCGATTTTCATGTTGCTAATTTACGCCACTCGTATTTCCGTTAAAATCATTGACATATTTACGTCATTGGTTAAGATGAGATGCAGCTTCACCACTGAGCGGCGCTGTTTCACCATGGAAATGATTCATTCTGTATCTTGTAGGGTTTTGTTCAGTCCAGGCTGGGGGTCAGGACTAATGCGTCATATATCATCTTAACCAATGATTTGTAATGGAAATACGAGTGCCGTAAATTAGCTACATGAAGATCGGCGGCGATGGAGAACGTACTTTTTCTAAGTAAATTAAAATGGTTTTTATTCATAAACAACGGTGATCCGTGTGACCCGGAAGTACCCTACGGATCATGCTTCTGTAACCCGGAAGTACCCTACGGATCATGCTTCTGTAACGGATCGGGGAACGACAGCCCATGTCACATCAAGGGGCCTCCCTCCCATTTTTTTTAGAGACACGCTGCTCAGTCCCTCACTATCTATCCTTTGGTTCAAACCATCTTATGCTGCCATCTGGTGGTCAAAAAAGGTAATGCACTCAAAACAAATCAACATTTCTTCTTAAATTTGACAATAATTACTAATTATTGTCAAATTTCAGACAATATTATTGTTTATTGCAGTAATTTCTGAGACAGTTGATCACCCAGCAAAATTAGTTATCATGACAGGCTTACACATAACTAACAAACTACACAGGTTGTGTGACACAGGTTTTTGCACAGATAGCGAGTAATAATGAGATGAATTATGATGGTAAGGTAGTGACATCAATCAACCTTTATTTAGACAGGTAAATCCCATTGAGCCTCGAGGACTCATTTACAAGAGAGACCTGATTTCAACAAAGAAAGATGACAAATGGACAACAGCAACAACAAAACAGTTATAAAAAAGCATACTACAGTTTTTTATATCTGTTTTTTTTTTAACAAATAGGATGGCTAAAAGGAAAAGGTAACAAAACAAAAAACAGCTAGATTCCAAGACAAATGTAGAAAACTAAAAACAGGAACATGTCTGCATTGGACCCTGCCAGGTGTCCAACAGATTCTTAAAGCCACTTAGAGAGGTCAAGGTCGAGAGCTTCAAATCTTTTTGTAAGATATTCCAGGAAACAGGAGCGGAATAGGAGAAGGCCCTTTTGCCTAGTTCAGTCCTCACTGAGGGAACACTGCAGGTAATAATGTCCTGAGCCACATAGTGCAGTAGCAATAAACATATCAGGTGTCACAGATGTGGCTTGGTGCCATGTTATTGCCAGTTGTTCAGTGTTATTACCAACTGTTCAGTAATCTGACAGCTTGTGGGTTATTACCGTCTTTGAGACTTTTGTGTGTGATGAGAGGCTCCTGTATCATCTGCCTAGTAGTGATGAACCGGCAGTAATGTATTTTTCTGCAGCTCTATAAAACTGATTGTGGCCAGTTAAGATTCCTCCCTCAGAACTATAATTACCAGCTGGTCCCAGGTGAGTCAGAACACCCCTTGATTCTGGTCTCCAATCAGTTGTTTGCCTGCCACCGAGACCAGAACACGAAGTGAAACAGAAACCCAATCCTCCTTATTGTTCCCCAGACAGAAAAATGATGCCCAAGATCCTACGTCCTTCTGCATCCTGAAGATAATGTGACCTCATCAAAAGGAAATCCATGCTAATAATATCAACCTTGTCATGCATTCTATTAATAAAAGTAAAATGCCTCTCGGGTGTAATCAAATAACTGCAACTAACGAAGACGGAGCGGTGTTCCTGCTCTGCGTTCACTTAGAATCTGATCTTCTGCAAGACGGAGTGAGTCTGAAATGTTTTGTGGCAGTTTTTCTACATGAAGCAAAGTTGTGCACGCAGCGCTCCAAAACCATCACTAGATGGTGTCAGGAGGGTGTGAAAGCAGCAAAGTGGACTGTGGGTCTTTGCTGAATGTCCAAGAGCCAGTGCTGTCTACAGTCGTTTAACTTCTCTTCTACAGCTTCTATTATATGTAAATGTTCACACCTGCACTATTATATTTATTTGATCCGCACTCAAATAATTAGTTTTTTCAAACCTTATAGATATAACTGTGCTTTATATGGGACTTGTACTAATCATAAATCTGCACAGATAAATCTCATGTTTTTGGTACAGATGAAATGCATTTCAGTATTTAATGTAACAAAAAGTAAAACATTGTAATAAATTCTTTCTCTTTAGTAGAAAAGGTCATATTCATGAAAACTGGCTCATAAAAACACGTTTGAATGTCACCGTCACAGAAAAATCAATGCTTCAAGTTAGAATTTTTGTTTACTTGGGATCAAATCAGGAGATTTTCAGCAGAGTAGCTAGTTTAAGTTGTAATGTTTTCATATAATCTGTGCTTTTGAATGAGTGAACATGATTTTCTTTGTGTAAAGTGTGCGCTTCCATCTGCTCCCCAGGAAGGAAGTGGCCAGAGGTGCTGCAGATGTGGAGGTGACGAGCAGGGAGTCCTCGCTCCTCGTCAGGACTCCGAGAGGAGACGTGAGCCTGACATTACCGGCAGGGGTCACCTTCGAGCAGGGCTCCTGCCTCCACACACCTGGGGGAGAAGCCGGTGGAGAGGAGCTGCATTTCAGGCTGCGCATCGCTGTCGAACGGCGCACGGAGGAAGGTAACGATCAGGACCAAACTAAAACAACGTCGTCTCTTACTCTGTTTTAGATTACATCAATTTAGAAAAAGTTGTGACTTGGAGTAAAATGTAAATAAAAGTGGAAGATTTGCACATTTCTTTAACCCATATTTTCTTCACAGTGGAGCAGAGTAAACATATCGGGTGTTTAGACTAAGAAACTGCTCAAATTTTAGAGGAAAAATAGGAGAAGTTTAAACAAGTGGTACTAAAAAAACAGCTGGAGGATCATTTTAAAAACTGGCAACTGACCAGTAAAATGACTGGGTTTAAAAAACACTTAAAGCTGAATCTCTGAGGTTAAGGTTGAGGTTTTATTTAATTGATGTTTTTCTTAGTTCATATCTTAGATGTATTACTGTTTTTCCTTATACATTTTATTGTTGGTTGTAACTGGGACCCTGTGTACATAATTTCGCTCCACCACATGTACCACATGAGGTGCGAATGACAATAAAGAATCTCTGACTTAAGATGGGCAGAGGTTTGAAGTTCTTTTTAGAAACCACGATATCGTGTTGTCCATACTAAAGAAGAGCGGGACCATCCAGATGGTTTGTAGCACACAGTTCAAAAGCCTGCCTTTCTGATGGTATGGGGGTGCATTAGTGCTTATGACATGAGTAACGTCCACGTCTGGTAAAACACCATAGGTGCTCCAAAATATGTTTTTTTAATAAGTTTTAGAACATTTTCTCCCATCCAGATGTCTTCTTCAGGGAAGGCTTTGCTTAAATAAGACGATGCTGAACCACAAACTGCATCCATCACAACAGCTTGGCTCTGTAGAGGAAGAGTCCAGCTGCTGAACTGACCTGCCTGCAGTCCAGACCACACGCCGAGTGTAAACATGTGATGTACCACAAACAATCCAACAAAGAAGACCCAGGACTGTTGAACAGTTAGAATCTTTTCTCAGACCAGAATGGGACATTTCTCTAAGAAGTCCAATAACTGGTCTCCTCAGGTCCTTGACGTTGACAGGCTGTGAACCTGGAACAACTTTAAAGACATTTGCTGCCATCAATCTTAAATTGTCCTTTATTTTTCTAAAAAAAAAAAGTCCAATTTGTTTGTTTGTAACTCACTGTATTGTGTTTTTCTTTACATTTTGCACAACGTCCCAACCTTTTCAGGGTTTTTCAGGTTGTGCTCATCAAAGTTAGTAAATTATTGGACCTGACGTTGTCTGAGGTTGTGCCAAAATCCATCTTTTGACTCTTCTTGACATTTTCAGTTTGAGCACAGAAGCCAGGGAAAGTTTGAGTTCAGGACAGTCCAGTCAGATCAGACCAATTTCACCGCGTAGCCTCGTACCCCCACCAACTTGTATTTTATTGACTCTGTGCTCCATGCTAAAATGTTCGCACCCTTTCACCACATTGCCCTCATTTTTTGTTTCCCCCCTTCACAGTGTCCTCTGACGGAGTCATAGAGACTCTTGAAGCAAAGAAGACTTACTGCTTCTGCTGCCAGGGCTGCATGACCCGGCTGCTGGACGACAGGTAGGGAACAGACGGAGATGCTTTTTCTATTTACGTCCTCCTCCGCAGGAAGAGGAGCGACTCGCCCGCAGGAGCGATAGTCTGGGGGAGAAACATTGATGGATGGCTCCTCGGGGGAGTCCACAGTTGTCAGCCTGACTGGGTTTGAGTTATAGAGCGTGTGTGACGTAAAGGTGTGCTCTGCCCATTAAAAACAAATGTCGTCCTTCAGGTTGTTCTTATGGACTCTGGCTTTGTTCCAGTCTCTCTGCTCAGCATTGTGCCGAGAGCTGCCAAAGCTGCATTACGAAGACCCACCGGCAATGTTTCTCAGCAGTAACACACTCAAAGACTTCCCCAAACTTTATTTTTGTCCAACAAGGTCTTGGTGTTACTTGGAGTTTTAGTCATCATGCTTCCAAACAGTGATCAAAATTGGGATTTTACTAAAAATAATTTTGTAATTAAGTACCCCACTGCGTATGGATACTCGCTTATAATAAACTCCATGCAGATTATTTACACTAATATAATATTATTAGTGCAGTACTGGACCAAACCTGCCATGTGTTGACATGCAGCAAGAACTACTAGCAGTAATATCTCTGCACTAAAACATCTCATCTCTGCAGAACATTTAGCTACTTTTAGCTTGTCGTTTTGGTTTTAGAGCTTTAGCTTTCATGCTGCACTGTCCTCTTCAGCACCAATAAACCAGCAGTCCCAAGTTGCCCTTGACTGATTAAAACAGAGAAATTTTGGATGTAACACCAGTTGAAGGAGTTTGTCCAACTTTTGAAGAACTCGTACACCTGACAATCTTTAGAAAGGCATTCTGGATTAAAATAACTACATATTGAGCTGCAGTGGCTGTAGCAGCTCATTGTTTTTTTTTTTTTTTCATTTTCTGGAGCAAAAAGAGGGAATTTGAAAGAACATCTATCTGTTACATGTTGTGAGCATGATAACTTGAAAAATAAATGCAATATTGACTTTTGTTTTGGTGTGTGGCTACATCTTAGCATATGAAAGATTCCTTTTGAAAACATGGTAGCCACGTCAAAATCCAAGATGGCTGCTACCATAAATGTTCATCCATGCTGTGAGCATGATAACTTGGAAAATAAGTGTGATGTCGACTTACGTTTTGGTACGTGGCTACATCTGGGTGTAAAAAGGTTCCTTTTAAAAAGTTGGTTGTTACATCAAATTCCAAGATGGCTGCCTCTATATATGTATTATATATGTATACCCGTATTTTCCGCTGTACGCATCGCATCAGTCCAAATATGTATAATAAAGTGGAAAAAAACATAAATACGTCGCTTTGCCATATACGTTGCATCTATTACGCGTCACCACTGACGTGCCACGTTTGTTACGCATCAGCGCTGACAACCCAGAAATGTGGCCCAGTGTTGTGCAAAAAATCGATTGGCTGCCAAATGGCGGCCGGGGGAGCGTGCACGGGAGGAATTTAACAAGATTAACACTTAAAAACTATTTGTTTGCTCGAAATTATAGTAAAGGTGTCTCAGTTTAACTTGTACTTAATAAATGCACTTTGACGGTCAAACCAGCCATATTTTCAAAAGCCGATATGCAGAAGCAGGAGCGCGCAGAGGGACGACTCGCTGTGCATTTCTTCTAAATTTAACAAGATAACCACCTAAAAACAAAATTTGTTTGCTCGACTTTATAGTAAAGATGTGTCTCAGTTGAACTTTTTTAAATAAAAGGACTTTTAACAGTCAAGTGAGCGGCATTTCAAAAGTACTCGGTGCTCCGGGAGCGCACAGAGGGAGAAAATCAGGATGGAGGAACGCTTTGCATTTCTTCGAAATTTAACAAGAAAAGCACCTAAAGCAATTATTTGTTTGCTCGACATTAAAGGTGTGTCTCAGTTGAACTTTTACTTAATAAATGTACTTTAATGGTCAAATTAGCTGCATTTCGCCAGGGCGGCGCAAAGAAATGATGCTGATTTGATGGTTGCTCCAAGTGAGCAGAACAAAGGTGGGAAGGCTGTGGCAAGCTGATTGTGTCATTAATAGCCACTTTTACCTATTGCATGACACAACAGCATGCCATACTACTCGAGTGCCATCTAGCAGCTGAAAATAGTAGTGTTCAATATTTTCAGTGTCGGAATGAATGAAAATGGTCATGTAGTGATGTAGGGACAGCTTTGCTGTAGACACACTACTAATTAATTATTCTTAAAGCTAGTTCAAGCACAAAGAATATTAATTGTTAATTACAACGGATTTTTTCTTTTTCGAGTTAAATTTCTGCCAAGTGACCAAGATAACTGTGAGGATTGTTTAATCAGTGACATGAGACGCCATTTTATCTTTGACCCATCAGAAGAAATGCGGTCATTTATTTAACAGAATCAAAATTTAACATCAAGACATGTACACATTGATTTGCTGATCTGTTTCTGATTAATAAAAACTTGGCACGCTTTACTAACAAGACAACAGAACATTACTGATTGAGGCTGATTCACCTCTGAAGGCATCTAGATTGCTGGTGAATAGAAGTTAAAGAGAAGAAATAGATTTAAAAGGAAGATGTATGTTTGTGACCAGAATTAGCACGCTTCTTTCAACACCAGCTCAACCTTCCGGTACACTTCAGGACATGCAGAGACTTTGTTACCTTAGATGGGGGGATACCTCCACTCCGGAACAGAAGTCCATTAGTACGATCCCTTTACAGCGTCTCCGGTTAAAGAGGCTGGTCATCGTCAGAAGCCGTGTGGTTTACTCCGTTCAACAGAACAAGCTTCCTTTGAAGTTGTAGGGCGTTACGCCCGGGTGAGTTCACAGTGAGGCACTGTGACTCCGCTGGGATGGACGGACCCCTTTGCACATGGTCCCATTCCATCAGCTTCTCAGTTCTGCTGGAAGACTTCATAGTTCCACTCAGAAGTGGAAGACTGAGTCCGAAGTTCCACTCAGAAGTGGAAGACTCCGGGAAGACTTCATAGACTCAAGGAAACTCCAGGAAGACTTCAGGAAGACTCCATAGTCCCAAGGAAGACTGAAAGAAAACTGCAGGAAGACTGGATAGTCCCAGGAAGTGTTGACTTTTTAAAGAGTACTCATTTCCTGTCAATTGGTACTTCCTGATTGGTTGAAACAACCAGCAGGGGCAGTGTTTCAGTGATGTCAGAGGGTTATTAAAAGTCAAGAGAGGCTGCAGGAATGTTTAGGAACGGTTAGTACAGACAGAGAAATGTTTATGAAGAAGTGAGAAAATTTGCAAGTGCCAGTTGAAGTTATTTACTGTTTGCAAGGTTTAAAAACAAGACACTTCGTTCTAATAACTCGTCTCTGTTTGTCTCTGACTTTCGACCGACATCCCTGACTTCTGACCGACATCAAATCCACTCATTCAGACAGAAGATCAAAATGCACAATTACTTTGTAAATAGACATTTAACTTGATTTCTAAGTCTAATGAGGTTTAAAAATCATTAATACTGTTTCACAGTTGATTTATCAATCAACCTTTATTTATACAGGTAAATCCCATTGAGCCTCGAGGACTCATTTACAAGAGAGACCTGAATTTAAATGAGTGGTTCACTTCAACATTTAGAAATGGTATGAGAGGAGTAAAGGAGGCCATCTTTGTGAAAAGAAACCGTCCATCTTTAAACAGGGGTGGAGGCCTACGTGTTCAATTGTCCCCCTCTTACAATGCTGTGATTGCTAGTATCACTCAGCCCTCTGTGAATAGCAAACAGCCATCAGTGTGCTAATGATCCATTGTTAGGCTGATGGTCCTCCTTGAGCATGTGATCAGCTGGTTTTGGTTGTCAGCAGCAAAACTGGTTGATCCACTCTGAGAAGGTGCTATTTAAGAGACTGAGCTGAATACAGCACCTCAGACTGAGGAAGTCTCTCGGATGAGAGACGAAACGTTTCTACATTTTTTTGTTGTTTTGCTTTGTTTTGTTTTTTTGAATGTCCAGAGGACCAGATTGAACTTTTTTGGATTTTTCTACCTGGATTATTGAGCATGCATCAGGATATGAACTAAACACACTTTGATTATCAAGATATTCTAAAATAGTAATGATAATGTAAAAAGAAGAGTGTTCTTTCAATTGATTAATTCAGGATACAATTAAATAGTCTCTTGATGAGATAATTTGTATTTCTGGATTCAAATCAATGAAATAACAGTTCCCGTCCCATGAAGGTCTTCAGAGACAGGTTGAGGTCAGAGGCCTAGTTCACTACAGTCATACCTCAGCCAAAAATTGGGTTATAAATATGGGGGGAAAACATAAATAAGTCTCTTTGTGTTGCATGGCATGTAAATTCTGCAAAAAAGCAAAACAAAGTTGTGACTTGTATGTCGAAAAATTCGGTATATGTAAATCTTGTGAGTTAGATAATTGTATGTATATTGGTTGTAACCATCTTTCAGATCGGAGGCAATGTGTTCAACATTATGGTATTTCCTCCAGTTATTTAACAGTCAGCAATGGTGTACCACAAGGCTCAGTCTTAGGACCCACCCTCTTTACAATCTACATAGGTAATGTAGGTCAGAGCATCCCTGATGCATCCTTACATTTCTATGCTGATGACACAGTTGTTTGTCGAGCTAAAACAGTTGCTAAGGCTTTCCAGCTTTTGCAATCCACGTTTGACATCATCCAGTCAGATTTGTTCTGTCTCAAACTTGTCCTAAATGCCGATAAAACCAAAGGGATGCTTTTTTTCAAACAGGAAGTCAGTCCTAGCAGTTCTTCCTCTGATTTTATCCTTAAATGGTGTCCCTATTGAGTTTATTGATTCTTATAAATATGTGGGTATCTTGGTCGACTCGCATCTCTTATGCTCCTCGTGGAAAACATAGTAAGGAAACTGAAAGTTAAACTGTTTCTTTTTCAGAAATAGACCCTGTCTAACTCTGAATGCTAGGAAACGCCTTGTATCTGCTACTTTCCTTCCCTCCATTGATTACGGTGACATTATTTACATGAACACTCCTACAAGCACCCTGCGGATGCTAGATGCTGCCTATCAAAGCGCGCTAAGATTCATAAATGGCTGTAACTACATATCCACCACTGCGGATAAATACATCAAGTTCACATGAGAAGATGTAAAAAATGGCAGGTTGGCTTTCTTGGACTGTGAGGTCTCAGTCTCTGATAGAGGACATTTGCAAACCGAGGTGTACCGCAAACCCACCCACACAGACCAGTATTTGCAGTTTGACTCCCATCACCCTTTGGAGCACAAGTTAGGAGTCATCAGGACTCTGTACCACAGAGCAGACAGCATCCCCACTAACTCAGGAGCCAGGCAGAAGGAGAAATCCTGCACAAGACAGGCTCTAGAGCAATGTGGATATCCTAACTGGGCCTTCCTGAAAGCAGAGAAGAAACCCAAACAGGACTCGAGTCAGCCATCAGGTGAAAAGGAGGAACCCAGACCCAGACCCAGACCAGTGGTCATTCCATATGTTGAGGGAGTATCAGAGAAACTGAGACGTTTATTTTCTAAACATAACGTCCCAGTGGCTTTTAAACCCCAAAATACATTACGGCAAAGACTGGTTCATCTCAAAGATCCAGTCCCTCGGCAAATAGGGATATTGTGTATATTGTTCAGTGTCAGGAGGGCTGTGATCATTCTTACATCGGGGAAACTAAACAGCCACTGGCCAAAAGGATGGCACAGCACAGAAGATCATCATCATCAGGCCAGGATTCTGCGGTCTACACTCATCTCCAGGCCAGCGGTCACTCTTTCAGGGATGAAGATGTTCACATCCTGGACAGAGAGGAACAGTGGTTTGAGAGAGGAGTAAAGGAGGCCATCTTTGTGAAAAGAAATCGTCCATCGTTAAACAGGGGTGGAGGCCTCCGGGTTCAACTGTCCCCCTCTTACAATGCTGTGATTGCTAGTATCACTCAGCCCTCTGTGAATAGTAAACAGCCATCAGTGTGTTAATGATCCATTGTTAGGCTGATGGTCCTTCTTGAGCATGTGATCAGCTGGTTTTGGTTGTCAGCAGCAAACTGGTTGATCCACTCTGAGAAGGTGCTACTTAAGAGACAGAGCTGAATACAGCACCTCAGATTGAGGAAGTCTTTCGGAGGAGAGACGAAACGTATCTAGATTTTTTTGCTTTGTTTTTTTTTTTTTAATGTCCAGAGGACCAGGTTTAACTTTTTTTTTTTAGATACATACATACTGTATATGTAAACCGGTCACCCCTATCATTTGAGGAAACTATGCTTAATAGTTTTTATATTACTTAATAGTACAGTTTCCTGAAATGATTGGTGTAGCCAAGCCCACTATTGGCCACCCCCTGGCTCTGCCATTGTGCCTGGCATGGATAAAATTGCTCCCTCTACTTGCCAGGATCCGTCACTCTGCGCCACCTCAGGCAAAAGAAACAAAAACACTGCTTCTATTCTAATACACTCAACCCATACAAGGTTCACTTGCTTTCCCTGTTCAATTCCAGGGCAAGACAACCCCCGTCCGTCCGTTTGTCCAAAACCACAAACATTCACTGTTCTAATCCCTCATCAACGGGGGACATTGATGTTCCGTGTCATATGCTCCTAAAACAGTCTAACGTGGAGCTTTAAGATTCACATCATTTTATTCTGTATGAACGTATTAGATGGTCTGATTAAACTGCTGGTGTAATATTTAAAAACTGTTCTCGTTCTCCTGTCACGTCAACAAACATCCCCCAAAAATGAACGACAAGTTTCTACGTTTGTTCACACAACTTGTTTCTTTTGACTGAACTGTAAGCTCGTTTTGAGTCAGGGACAAAGCGTCTCAATATTTTGACTCTCGCACTCTGCTCCATAAGGAGCTGAATGTGAAGAAACGTGGCTCGGTGAGTAAATTTAAATGGTCTGAATACATGAACATCTGGATGGAAACATTTTGATTGATTATTTTTGTTAATTATGAGGGCTGCTGCAAAACGTTATTGTTGTTCAGCAGTCTTATGTCATCTGGCTCCTTTTAGTTTTAAATTGTTATAGTTGTAATAAGCTTTTATGATTTCTGGATCTCTGAACTGTTTTTTTTTTGTGTGTGTGTGCACGCGCTAGTGCACGCGTGTTAGTGCACGCACGCTGTCTTGAACTTTTGCTCATCTTGGCCAGAACACTTTGTAATTCAAATTTTAAATCTCAAAGGTCTGATTTACATTACATGCACACTGCAGGCTAAAGTGGCCCAATTTCAGTTTTTTTTTTTTTAGTTTTTTTTTTTCTCCATATGCTACAGAACCAGCCACTAGGGAGCACAAGCCAGTGCATTTCTTGCACCGATCCCAAACCCGAGTAAATGGTGAGGGTTGTCAGGAAGAACGTCTGACATAAAAGACCCAGATTAACAACTGCTACCAGTGCTGTTTGAAATTATGCTACAATTAATGTCCCAGCGTACTCCATCTGAAGCAGCAAAATCGGCTCTCGTTGTCGTAGTTGCGTGACGAAAATTGTGCAGTTTTGTTCTCGAAGCCGCTTCGCCCGCCCCTTCTTGACACAAAGGTCCGAGCCAAACTTTTTCTCACAGGCGTACACACCAAGGATTGTGTGATTGGTCAGAAGTTTGTGGGCGTGTTCGTCAATGTAGAAATGCACTCCGACATTCAGCTGTACGACTCTTCAAACACGCTAAATTAGTTAAATGGCCAAAAACTCCTGGATGGAGATCGTGCAGACATTGTTTGGAGGAGTTTGTCTACTGAAAAGTATGGCGCTTTATTCATAATAGATTTGTGGCCAAAACAGCGGCTGCAGAGACGGACTGGAGACTCTGGTGAGAAGAAACCTGCGTGATGACGTATATTGCCTTGGAAGGGGTTTCCCAGGAGCTTTGGGCCTGTGTCTTGACTATGAAAGGTGTGTGTGTGTACACAAATGTCCCGCAACCACGTGACCGCGAGTCGACTGATAGCATCAAATGGAGTATGCTGGGCCCTTTAGTCAAAGACAACGAGAAGGGAATCACATCAGGAGATAGAGAGAGAAGAGGAAAGTCAAGAATGTAGGACTGAGGGTTGCAACTCTAAATGTGGGGACAATGACAGACAAAGGTAGAGAGCTGACTGACATGATGCAGAGAAGGAAGGTAGATGTTTTATGTGTCCAAGAGACCAAGTGGAAGGGCAGCAAGGCTCGCAGCATTGGAGCAGGGTTTAAACTGCTTTATCATGGTGTGGATAGAAAGAGAAATGGAATGGGGTGGTCCTGAAGGAGGAGTTGAGTTGGAAAAAAATGTAGTAGAGGTGAAAAGTGTGTCAGATAGACTGATGTGTCTGAAGGTAGAAGTAGTTTTTTTTTTTTTTTTTTTTTGTTATTTTTGTTTTTTTAGCAAGTTAAATCAGTTCTTCTCATCCTAAGCATTTCATTGTACTGTTAACCTTGTGTTAACCTTGTGTTAACCTTGTGTAAGACAAATGAACACAAATGAACTTGAACTTGAAGGTCTGATGCTATGACTGCTGGGCTACTACAGCAACAGTAGTTAGAGAGACAGATAGAAAGGTGTGTCATCTGGAAATTCTCATTCAACCTTTATTTATACAGTTTAATCACATTGAGCCTCGGAGACTTATTTACAAGTGAGACCTGTTTTAGACAGACGAAAAAGTAGCAAAGTAACATGAGGGGAGGCAAAAAAAATTCATATCTCACACTGCACCCTGGCCGAGGCACAGTGTGAAAGTTGAGAAAAAAGACCCCACACATAAACAGCACGATGACGCAGACATTCCACAGGGGGGAGGAATCTGACAAAGGTGGTGAGATTGTCCATTAACACTACCAGAGGTTCCATAGACCTGATAAAGATGGCACAGTGTGCAGCTGGCTCGCTCTGGTAATTGTCTACAGATGTTATCGGGGGGGGGGGGGGGGGGATTCACAGACGGAGCAAAAGCAGAGGAGGAAGGCAGGAGAGGGAAAGAAAGCGTCCACTTTCATCAAAAGCAAGTGAAGTGACATATAAAGTTAAAACAGAAAAAATAAAGTATGCACATGCATGGCGGCATCTAATCATGTATAACATGTAAACTATCGTCTGACTATTTGGCCTTCCTGTTGTTGCTAGGTGTAAAAAAATTTTATTGTCAAATTTATCTGAATATCCATGTGTCGAAGTGAAGGCTCAGGGGCCAAATATGGGCCTTGTTAACATCTTATCTGGATTCCAAGATGATGATTTGTTTTAAATTAAAATGTCTTTTATTGCTTCTCATTTTACTTAAAAACTGAGCAGACTTTATGTAGTGCAGAGCTCGCATGACACTTGGCCAACTTTGAAGACAAGAAAAATTAGAATTTTTCTGTATTTTTGATTTTGATGAGCGACAGAGATCATCAAACGAGAGAATGATGTCGGGTGTCTGACTGGACATAACGTATTGACTGAAACTGTCCCTCGGTTTGAAGTAAATTTGTAATTTGGCCCCTTTTTGTAACAGTCCAACACCCCTGCTGTACAGTAACTGAGTTTTTCTTTCCTTTCCTTCAGAACGTTTAAGCGAGTTCTTCCTCTTCCTAACGGGAACTGGAACGCCATCGTGGACGAGTGGTGTTGCCACCCGGACCCGTTTGCCAACAAGAAGCTGCTGCCCCGAGCAGAGGACTGTTTACTGGGCGACACCTTCATCCTCCTGGCCCGTGACCGCAGCTGTGACCACACTCTGACGGAGGAAGAGAGTCCTGTGGGCCCAGCAGACGGTCAGGAAACAAAGGTGAGGGACGTGCAGGTCGCTTTTATTCAGGTTATAGTATCTAACAAAAAGGTTTGCCACACACACAGACCCTCAGACAGATGCATCGATGCAGTCCAACGCTGGTAGATGAGGATTGATCTGCAACGTTCTTCCATTTGTCATTCTCCACATGAGCAGCACGAAAAATAATCAGAGTATCGACTGCGAGTCTCCTCCTGTCGTCTGTTCTACATCCAACTCATAGCAGCTAAATAAATTAAAAAAGATGTATCGTGGTGTTGTGATGGTTGTTTTTTACTCTGCACAGAAACCCTGTCGCCGTTTGACTCTCATCTCTTGTGCAAGCTGTTCGTCAGAACTTGGAGAAGCTGTTTCACCAGGTGTGCACCATCCCAGCAGCTCTGTCAAATTTAATTATGGTTTTTATTGACAGTCTGAATAAAACGTTCCCTTTCAGAGGCCGTGAAGCTCTACATCACCCAGGTGGTGGTGGAGCCTGCTGCGGGAGGTGGAGAGCCTGGAGCGTCGCTGAGCAGGCAGGTTTTCACTCACACTTCCTGTTGGGGACAGTTTTGATTGTGGAAAAGAAAATCTTGTGTTTACAGGAAGAAAACTAAAACTTCCTCTAAGTATTCAAAAACACAAAGTTTGTTTTCTCAGTCATCCAGGTATATAACAA